CTGAGGGGCCGTGGGCCTCCCAGGATGTCCGACAGCTCAGCTCGGCTGCTGTAGTGGGAACCAGGGTTGGGGCTGGTGAGACATCGTGGAGCACGGGGCACAGTGGGCAAAAGGAACAGCTGGGCAAAGGGCTGCGACTGGCACAAGGAGCAGGATAATAACTGTAGCCAAAAATGTACTGAACAGGCAAGGAAAATAGCACTGGGTGTCGTGGTTTAACTGTAGTAAGCAGTGAAACACTACAGAGCCACTCACTCCCCTCCCAGTGGGATGGGAGAGAGAATTGGAAGGGTAAAAGGAGAATCTGTGGGCTCAGAGAAAGGCAGTTTAATAAGTTTAAAAAAAAAGAAAAAAAAAGAAAAAAGGAAACTGAAGCAAACCCAAGGAAAGCAAGTGATGAAAAAACCCAAGTTGCTTACCATCAGCTGGCCAATGCCAATCCCCAAGCAACAGCAGCCCTGGCAAACTCCATACACATGCCCCTCCAGTTTTATTGCAGAAGGTGACATTGGATGGTATGGGATATCCCTTGGGTCACCTGTCCTGGCTGTCTCTTCTCCCAACTTTTTGTCCACCCCTAGCCTGCTCTCTGGTGGGACAGCGTGAGAAACAGGAAAGGCTTTGACTCTGTGTAAACATGGCTCAGCAATAGCTAAAACAAATGTGTTATTAACACAGTTTTAATCACAAATCCAAAACACAGCCCCATATGAGCTACTGTGAAGAAAATTGACTGTATCCCAGCCAAAACCAGTACTCTGGGGTTGGAAGGCACGATGGGGTAAAAACAGAAAAGACCTTATGTGGGTGCATATGTGTTTTGGGGAAGAAAATTCAAATGGACAAGAAGATACCTTTAAACACACTTCTTTCCACAATGTTAAATAAAACTGGAAAGCTGGATTTCACTCTTTTCCTGCTATCTGTAAATATATCTGGAACCTACAGGGAAGGTACAGTATGTCTCTAGTGCAGTTTGCAGAGAAGGTGAGGACTTGTTACTGCTACCAGTTTGTCCCCTTGCTTAAGCATCAGCTGTTTCAGTGCTCTGGTGATTGTTGATGCTCACATAGTGGTGGGATTCTAGGTTTGTATTTTTTTTCCTAGTTTGCTTTGGAAGATACACAGTTTTCCCTGTGTTAAAGTACATGATTACCTTTTGAATGTTAATAAATGAAAAATTAGAAAATGTCAGAAGCTCCTGTGCTGCATTAAGTCAGACTTTTAATATTTACATTTCCATACAATTTTCAAACATTCTATTCCATACTGATTTTTCTCCAGGA